TATAATGCAATTACATGAAATATGTCATCCCTTAAGCTGATTTTCTCATTTGAAAATGGAATGAACCCAGAAAATCTAAATCGATCAGTCGTTGACATTCCACTTGTGATTCAATTACAAAAAGATATCTTTTGTACAACCGAACTCTTCCTTCCAGCCAAGTCTTAATTCCAGCATTATTAATGACTCTGTCAGTAAACTTAATTGACGCTTTGATAACTGCAAAATAATTAGTTATAATCATTTTGCTTTTTAGAAGATAAAATTATTGTCAAACATTAAGACACTAAAATTATACACTTTACTCTTCTTAAACCTTGTGATTATCTAAAAATCTTCCATAAAATTAAAACCACCACCTGAAATATCAAGGATATAGATTGAAATCTCTAAATTTAGTTATCTATAATAATTTTTGAAACTGGGTTCTTAAAAATTAATCCATGATTTTCTAAAAACAACTTAAGAAAAAAATGAAATAAATTTAAAATGATATACTTCTACTATTAGTGTATACCAAACACTGACAATTCTCATAATTCTGACACTTAAAAAAGGAAAAACTTCAAGTACCATTAGGCTTGAATAGATATACCTCAATTTTCTCGGAGAGAATAACAAAAGTCAAACTTCACAGTGGCAAACATCTTATCGCATAATATAGAAGCTAAAATACAAAATAAGGTTGTTCGATGTACCAAAAAACCTACACCTTTACGAAATGTTCCTATAAAGGACATATTTGTAGATGAACAAGGTTAAATATGATTATTTAGCTCATCAAGAAGGAACAACATTATTTTAAAAAAAATTTGAAATGTCTCTCCTTTGGCAAAAAATTTACTCCTTCATTATAGTTATCTATTAGCCCACTTTACATTCCAGTAAATGTTGCTCACTCAATCCATTTTGAATTTTTGTTGATTCAAGCATATTCATCCACATATCAAGTCAAATTTGACTTTTTTGAACTAGAATAAAAATATTTTTTAATTTAGAAACATACTCTGAAATCTTTTTAGATGGTTCTTAAAATTAATAAATCTTAAGGAAAGAAAAGAAAACTAAAAAAGAGGTGGAAAAAAGAAAAAAGAAAGTTTTAAAAAATAAATAATAAAAAAATATGTTGATGTTAAGTCAAACATCAAAAGAAAAGTTAAAGAGAGTTATAATCATAGTAGACTTAATCATTCATTGATCATAAACTGATAAACATATCCCTAAAAATAGATGATAATAAAGATAAGATCATAAGACAATTTAGATCTAAGTCATTCACGATCAAGAGATTATCCAATATGATAATTTTTGCTCCAACTTTAATATATTCAAACCATTTTACAAAGTTGAAAGTTAAAGTCACCCTACCATACAATGTCCACTGAATCACCAAATAAAAGCATCCTAATACTCAATTTCTTTAGAATTTTGAAGTGAATCTCAAACTTAAAGTTGAACGTCAAAATCCAAAGAATTTCTTGAAGAAAAACACAACAACAATGAAATGAGCTAAAAGAAATTAACTCAAACAGGGATACAATCATTGACTTGCCCTTTAATTTTCAATTTCAAGTAAAATAAAAATAGCCTCTTTAGATTATCTTTAAAACTCTCGGGATATTATCATACAAGTTCTCCCTATCCATCGAGGCTGACCCAAAAGTGATTCCTTAAACTCAAAGTACAACCTAACGTAGTGTAATACAAAAAAAGTTCTTTGACGTATATGCTTGGAAATTGAACACAATTTTCTCATTCAAAAATGGGTCATTTAATGCCGGATAATTAAGAGCATTTAGCATGTTGAACTCTTGTCAGGATTTATAACTATAAGGTCATATCTATTGCGTCTTAAAAATATTGATTTACAAATATAAGTAGGTTATGACCTAAAAGCTCGAGAAGCTTGTTCATATTAAATAGAAGAATATGTCAATAATTCGGACTAGAAAAAGAGAAGAAGGCAATTTCAATAATTTTAGAATTGTCTTCAAGCAATTTTACCACTAAAATTCAAAAAAAAGAACCCTATAAAGTGCACTTTCAACAAGTAACTATATGAAACTTTCTAAAATTTTTTAGTGTATCATTGCATAATTAAGATTGCTCATATTCGGATATAAATGATACTAGAAACCCAACCTTCAAAGAACTTCTTGATTTGAAAATCATTCCAATATGAGTTTGTGTTTCTAAAAAAGAGAAATTTTATCCTAAACTCTTGCGATGTGTCTTTCATAAAAAAAATCATTATTTCATTGAAGTACAACTTTTGTGTCAGTATTAAAAGATTTTTTACCAAATCGAACTTTGTCCGAATGGTTAGCCCAAATGATTTTGATCACCCGGACGTACTCGCGCAACCTATTTCGTGAAATGACACTCCGATGAAAAATTTTTACATGGAAGAAGACTTTATGCATAAAAAGTTGAAGCACTTGAATCCACATAAATTGGTGTCAAATCATCGTCGAACTCATAGCATATTACTCCAAGCATGACAACAAATACAGCATAGCTTAAGGAATAAAATTTGGAGCACTACGAAAAGTTGAAGAAACCGTGATTGATTTGATTCATTTTATGTCAAGTTAGATTTAGTTCAATTTTAAATTTTAATTTAGGTTTATTAAATTAAATTTTCATTTTAATTAAGGTTAATTTTGATTTTAGTTCAAGTGAAAATTAGGTCTGTATTACACATTGAAAGTTGAAGCACGCGAATCCACGTAAAATTAGTGTCAAATCACCGTCAAACTCGTAGCATATTTCTTCATGACCACAAATACAACGTAGCTTACAAAATAAAACACCGAGCACTACAAAGAGTCGGAGAAACAACGATAAATTTTGGTCCATTTTATGTTAAGTTGGATTTAGTTCAATTTTAAATTAATAATATAATAGAATATAATATATGTCAATACTATAATAAACTATGATTTTTTATATATCTCGATCAAGGCGCTGACTCAATGTCCAAAGGCATAAAGCCTCGAGGTGAGTGCCTTATAACATTAGTTCGAGGAGTGCTTCGAAGCATGAATAATTAATAATGTAACTGATGCACGGCGCTGAACCTGGAAACCTTCGCGAGAGCAGGAGAAGCGGGAGGAAGTCGCGATGGCGGAAAGAAGATCGCGATACAACAGCCTGCATCCCTTGCATTGGTGATCTTCTTCATATGGGAAGTTTTTAATGGTTCTCTAGATTTTTCTTGCCTCCCCACTCCTTCCTTTGTGTGGGAGTTTCATTTTTTATTTATTTCCTTTTCTTCGTCAATGAGAGTCTATAAATTGTTGTACCCTAATTGTAGGGGCAGTTTTAGTGTGAGTTGCTTTCAGATTCCTTTGTGGAACTGTTCTCCCTGTTGTAGGGTTGTATCTAAAGAGGTGGTTGTGCTATGCTTGTATCCAACTCCGAGGTGGTGATGTATCTTCCTCTATCCTCCTCTCTACCCCTTCTCCTTCCCGTCCATTAGTCGGCGGCCATCCTAGTACCATCCCAGCCATCCTGCAGTCTCTTTTCCGCCATTGTCTTGTTGTCCGGCCTTTCCACTCTGCCTCTCAGCACCCTATTCCCCTCCAACCTGCTGTTGGCCTTACTGTCCAGCCCTCTCAACCGCCCCTTGCATCCTAACAGGTCCCTCACAACAGCTTCCCTAGTTGCCCGGCCATCACCCAACACCCGTCACCACCCTTCCTGTCACCTTACCTACCACCCCACTCACCCAAA